CTTTAAAGCTCCACTAGAATTGAATGAATTTTACTTACTTTTACATGTCTGATTTTTAAATATGTTATCGATGTGACTATAATAAAGTTATAATTAATCAGTCAGACAAATTAGAATGACCAAATATCCCTCAAACACAAAAATTTGTTAACCAGAAGTATGAGCGCGAGAGTGCTGTGCTTGCATTTCAGAGTGAGTGAGACGTCCATAATAATTCGGTTCTCCTTCTTTATGTGCCCTTTGCGCGTAACCTATAATATCTAGTATAGTTCGAGTCTGTCAGAGCACATGCTTTTGTTGTTTATATCGTGCAATGTCCATATATTTTTTCATCAACTAACTTCACTTATATATAATTTCATTGAGAAATGTATATTTTATTCTGTGAACGATTCATACTTGTTTTGTTATTCCCTGTATATTCTATAAATACAAAAGGCTTTCATTACAGACATCACGTATCTAGTTAACATTTGTGATGGGTCGTTAAATTCACATGAATTATAACATGAGGGTCGTGTGTTTACCCCAATACGAGACATATCCCTATGAAGGGTGTCATATAAACATTATTTACATAGATATACAAATATCTGTTGGAACCTAGTGTGATCGAGTATTCAAATCTTTTGACCCCTCGCATGTATCCATGCATTTTGTAACAATAATATTCAGGGCCATCGTAACGAACAAGGGGATCAAACGGTCAATTATGAGTTCAGTTCTGGATATATGCGATTAATCCTTATATTCCCAACATTTTCGCATACGAAATTATTGTCTACGAGGGTAGACCCAGAAGTACTCAGACTATTGAAGAAAACACACACGTTTTGGAAAAAATGTGTTTATTTTTCAAGATAATTTCCTATCAGCCTTTTTTCCACCAAAGTTCAATAAGCTCTATACCGTTTTTATAATTGAAATTGTCTTGCTGAAGTGATGGACCATGTTTCGTCCATGGTTATGAAACGACGCAAGAATTCTAATTTGTTGCTGCAAAACTTCGCTATATATATTTCCAGAATAACTTCCCAAATTTCTGTTACCGCAGTTGTCGGTTGATTGGTCAAACCACCAACACTGACATAAAAACTTGGCAAGTTGACTTGGGTGTCACACCAATAGGTGGTTCCACTTATGTTTCGCTTGCGTTTACGCACCTATTTTTATCAAGTACTTTCTTGGTTTTTCTCATTTTATCTTCAATCGAGGACCACTGCCCGGAACTGACAATGCCCAATAGGCTGAAACAGTTGTCTACCGGTGGCCCTGTATCTGTATCTGTAGAGTAGGGAGGGTGAGTGTAAGCCCACGCACTTAGGCCAAATGTGACCCATTGTAAATCCTCCCGAGGAGTTGTCCTCCTAGAATTTAACACTCCTGATTTACAATAATTATCTATATTGTGTTTCCCATAACAAGTAATCAATTGTAAATGTCAGACTGAGGAAAACAAATATATAATATTCGGACACATTTCCCCTGGAAATTTGACATTAGTCGATGGAACAACATACTCATGTCTTCTCTCTGACACAACATTCAAATGATTTTTTCAGAATGAAATATTATTCAAAACATCAAATCGCTGATTTATTGGTGTGGAAGATCATGTTAGAGTCTATTACTAACGTGCAGTTCCCTTGAAAACATCTTCTGCCTTGTTACAAAAGCTGGCCATAAATCGCGAATATGTTTCTTTTGAAGGAGTTATGAAGAATCGATAATGTCTTACTTCAAGTCTGTCGGTAAATTACTCTAGTACTCTGGCGTGATTTATTCTCCTGTTTGTCCCATTTTTGCAGATATATCTATTTCTGGAGACACCGACTCGCATTTACATAAGAGTTTGCCTAATTTATCATGAGAATTTTGTCAGAATACTTCGGGAACGAGAATTATCTTGAAGTACCGAATATGTCAGGAGGGACGTATAAATTTGTGAAATTTGGCAAACTCCGCGCAGAATTTCAATAGAAAATCGCAAAGTTTTTGTTGCAGACGAGTTGAATTTTGATCCGAAAATGATATAATAGTAGATAAACTATGGGAAAAACCTACTGCTCTATACGAGAAAGTCCTTTTGAAACAACTACTTTCATTTGAATGTTGAATGGATGTGGCTGTTCAAAACAAAGGTGAACTTTGCATCAAATTTTATGAATATAACTGGAGTTTTATCCAAACACCAAACCGTTATTTTCAACACCTCGACACGTGTTTTGATCCCCAAGTGATCATCTTCAAAAGGAAAATATACAGGATGTTTTTTGAACATGCGACACAAATTCAAGAGACAGTGTAGTACGCTTTACTTTTTGTTCGGCTACTTTAATGATTTAAAAATTACCAAAATTGTTATTGTCGAAATTTTTTCCGCCCCGTATCTTTGAAACAAAGCGCTCAATCAAAAATCATCAGAAGACAAAATATCCTCAGCATAGTCCAAGGAATAGTTCCTTGATTTTTTACCGCATGTTTAATAAACACCCTTAACATACAAAATTGTCCTTCTTTATACCATAAATACCTTTGCTAGTACCTCAGTCTTGATTGTCTTTAATTAATTTCACAATGTTGCCTCATCTACTAGTCTTACATAAATTCCACATGTTGCCTTATCTAATAGTCAGGTGAACCTAATTATCAAAATCTTATTTCAACAAGCTATATAGTACACTGAAGACTATGGAATGGTTTTGTTGCAAAATATGATGGGCGACTGTTGATATTTTAGGTGTATTGAGTGTTCCTTGGATCTTATTTTGATAGATTTTTCACTCCGCCCATAATATTTTGCATCGCAGCCCTTACATTTAATTTCGTAAATTCCAGACTTTTCCGAATCTTCGACTTTGACCTTTGGATTTCCTAGAAGATGTATGATTTGTTTCAAATACCACCTTAGTACACAGTTGCTTGGAAATCTGTTCAAAGTTTTTCTTGTACTGGTGGTATGGAACTGAAATATATTTATTCTGCTTGTCGTCTTTTCTGAAAGTCGAGATTTCGTTCATTCTTAACCTGAACTTTTTCTTCCTTATTATATACTCTACAATACCCCTCGAAAAACCGTTACTGACTAATACATTTTTCTGTATTTTCCTGTTTTCTTTTGTGAACCTCTCATGTATAAGAGAAAAATTCAATAGACGAAAGGTGGTGATCAATAGGTGTTGCCAAACATGCGCCAAACTAACTGACTATTATGAAAAAACAAGCATAGCTGAGGCACCAGTCAATCTAATGATGACACTGATGATCTTCAAACAAGACTTGACCCCTGACGAATGCACCAAACTCTTAAAAAAGTTTGAAATAGATGAACACTTCAATCTAGCGAACCACTACTATAATCTTCATGCAGTCACTATTCACTGTAGTTCTGACGTTGAATCAGGTCATTATTACGCATTGGTCAAAGACGAAACGGACTGGTTTAAGTTCGACGATAGTCGTGTCACTAAGTGTTCTGGCGATGTCTTGAATTCATTGGAGCCTCTGGAGACACCCTATATTATGAAAGAGAGGACATTGAAAGATCAAGATTTTCCGATGATGTGCTGCAGGTTTTTCCGGGTGTTCCTGCAGCTGAAAATCTGAAATCAATGAAATCGCCCCGGAGCGCCAATTAATTTTTGTTGTTTCATAATTTCTTGATTGTATTACTTTCTTCTTCAATGAAAAAATTTCTTTTGAGATGCTCTATATCAATACAGTGAAGTTTTCGAGATCGGGCAATTGTATGTATATAATTCTCTCTTCTTCCGGTACAAAAACTACTTCCAATTTGAATTGAAGGATGAGGGAGTCTTCCAAAGAAAGGAAGAAAGTAACTTTATACATGGATGTGTAGATCATGCAAAGATCTACACATCCATGTATAGAGTTACGTCCTTCCTTTCTTTGGAAGACTCCCTTATCCTTCTTTTTTTTTGTATCATATGGAACTGGAAACTAAGTATATCAGTCCATCTATAATCACTATGCACGGAAAGCTATAAGACAGTATAAGCCATGAGTCTGAAGTAATACCCATGTATAGACCAATTTGTTCCTGTATTCACTGAATAGCTTGAAAATTCGGCCATAGATGGAACAATCTCATCAAGTTGTTTATTATCTTCAGTCACTGGACTATGTAATAAAGAAGCGCATGGTGTATGGCAAATGTACATTCATTGTTTTTTGGAGAAATTACTGATAAAACTGCATTAATGAAAAAATATGCAAAACCATCATCTATATTTTGCTTCCATAATATCAATCATTGTTTTACATTCTATCGAATTTAATATTTTGACTTGAAATGGAATACATTGTCAAGAATTACCATAGCATTTTTGTTTCGTTCATCGTTGTCTTTTATTTTACCATATTCAAAATTTTTATTCAAAATTGAATGTTTACTTTAATTTTCTTTTATTTTCTTTTCTACGATGGAAAATCTGATAGTAGAAAGAACAGCTCTTTGAGAATTCTGGAAATAATCATTTCACAACTATCATAGAACTGAAACATCTGGTTCAGAGTGGGTCTATCAAAAACATTCACCCATACTCCCACAAAAATTAATGTATAATTTTTTGGAGAAAGAGTAATTCTATATTCAGTTTTCCAGAAATCTTATGGAATCGTCCTTAAATAGAATTAATTTTTCGATTTGTATGTACTGACCAGAAGTTCAATCGATTAGAGAAGTCTGCTATCTCTACACAAATTTTCAAGAAACTGAAAAAACCTTTGGTCAATAATCATTATGACGGTTTTTTCGGGTTTAGTTGCTTCATCAACATCGTGACATTTTTCAAGATTGCTCAAGTATAAAACAATAGCTTCACTATGATAACATCGTCATTTAATATTCATAATTGGAAACTAATCTCAGATATCTTCCAAAACTTCAAAACTTGAATTAGCCATATCTGGATATGGTAATCATGAAGGACACATTTATGAATTATGGAATCTTGTTTGCGTTGAAAAAGTCGAGAATATAAAAAGCTTTGAGTTCAACAGCAGTAACGTAACTGACTTGCTTTAGTTATCATGAAAATTGCTACGCTGTGTGTGGCAATCTTTTTGGTGAGTATTTTGATTCGTTTGAATTTTAACACCCTGGAACTGTTATGTCAAAAATTGTTGATAGTCAGATCCAACGGTGAAATAGGTTATCAGTTTTGCGAATCTTAGATACTAAATATTCTGGATTCAGTCACTTTGGTGAATGGAAGTTTCAAATATTTGATTTTCAGAAATTGGAATGCAAAGTTGTCGATCTCTTTCGTGATTTCACTCATAAATCTACTGATTTGTATGATTATTGATGAATGTTCATCGAAGTATTTAGTAGTGATGAACTAGAACTCTAAACGGTTCCAGATTAGTTGTCAAAAATATCGAAAATGTATCCAACTGATCATATTCTTGAATTCCAAGTACAGCATTTTCTTTCTTTGCTGTCAGAATCAATCGTATACTCTGCTATTTGAAAACACTAAATACGCAATACTGATACCAAGGACCGATTCAATTGAAACTCGACCATTGTTTATCAATTCAAAGTGAAACAGTTCTGGATAGGTTTCAAAGCGCATATCTTGTCTTGTTTGATTAAATTTCGTGTTCATTTTTTCAATATATTCAACGAGTTGCCTCACAGTGGAACTGTAGCTGCTAACCCTTTTGTGTGTGTATGCGTGCGTGCGTTCGTGCGTGCGTACGTGCGTGTGTGTGTAACAATATGTATATGGATCATTGAGCTCGTAGAAAATACGAAATGAAAACTCCGCAAAACTCCGTCCATTCATGGGTTGCTTCAATATTGGGAAGGGGAAGAAGTGGCTGGGCACCAAATCTGGTGAATACGGTGGCTGAGGCATGATAACGGTGTTGTTTTTAAGAAAAATCACGAACAAATGAGTAGGTGCATTATCGTGATACGAAAGCCATGAATTCATGAATTGTTTTCCTTCACATCGAACGTTTTTCCGTACTGCTTCTCACAAGCGGCGCATAACTTCAAAATAAAACTACCTAATTTTTATCGTACGATAATGTGGCGAGAACTCCTGATGACGTGTTTGGCTCTTCTCGGATCTTCCGTTGGGACAATTGGACTTTTCGATGTCATAATCATAAACCCAAGATTCGTCACCAGTTTTGACCCTTTTAAGCGAAACTGGATCGCCGTTGATGTCACTCAACAATTACTGAGCGATGCTCATGCGACTTTTTTTCATCAGAAAATTTCAGAAAAAATGCATGGTATGATCCAACCCATATGTCGACATCCTCAACAACTTCTCTACTAGTGATTCGATGATTCCCCATAACAATTTTCTTCACTTTCTCAAAATTTTCATCGGTTGTTGATGTGCTTGACATCCAGAGCGAGCGTCTTCATTCACATCTTCTGTGAAAAACTTGTACTATTTGTAAAAATGTTCCACCATATGCCATTATTTCATTGAATAAGATATCTAAACAAACTGTAGGAGCTGTTATTCTTACCTATTTATTGTGCTCATTCATATGACAAGAATATAGAACTGCTCAATGCAAGTTTACAAAAACCATGATCCAAATTAATGAATGAAATAAGCCTCTTCTCTGCATATTGAATTAGATGATCTCCAAAAATTAAAACTTGTGAATGATTAATTTACCCAAATATAGCATTAAATTTGAAAAAATGATACGAACTTGAATATGTTGGAACATAACATGTAGTGAAATAGTAATGAAAGTTGTAAGAATTGAAAAAAAGCCTGAATGTTTTTTATAATTCCATTCAAGCAGATAGATTCGGTGTTATACTTGAGAATACTTTCTGTGAAATTCAAAATAGAAACAACAGTTTTGAATATTGTACGAAAAGTTTGAGGCGTACATAGTCCCAAACAAAAACCAATTATAATAACCTTATCGTAAGTGAACAGATAGCAAAAAAATAATTGGATATAATTTATGATAATTATTTAAAATTCATATGAGCCTCATATTTTCATTGTACAAGTAGCAGGCTGGAATGAAGGAAATATCGTCAATGGGAACCTTGAAGATATACAATTTTGGGACAGAAACTGTGATAGATGACTGGAAAATAGTGCTTTAAGTTACTTGTCATCAAATTATTCCAATTTTGAAATGAACTTTTGAAGTTATATACGGAATAGGCTGATTTATTTTTTCAACTTTTTTCTTTTCAACTTCCCACCTAAAATTTTGTTGGATTCGTCATGAAAACGTGGAATTGAACAATCCTAGAAAATTTTATTAGTTCGGACTTCCATTGTCTGCTATGATAAATAAAGACTTGAAATCCCTGAAAGAACCAATGAAATTGAAGCAAATTACTGAAAATAACAAATATTTCAAGCAAAAAAACTTAAATGAAATCACAATGAAATAAAATACAAGCAAAAATTTTAAAATTCCCTAAGTTACTTCACGACGTTTCGATTGTTGGCATCCACAGTAGTCTTCGGGTGATGACTGGACTATTCCTTCGCAAGATGACTCTGTATCCGTACAGTAGGGAAGGTTAGTGTAGACCCATTGCACTCAGGCAACATATGACCCATTGTACATCCTCCCAAAGAGTTGTCCTCCTAGGTCATCGTTCATCCTGTCCTTTCCAGGAAGGTGGACAGGTCACTACGAGACATCTCCTTTATATTGGCAGGTGTAGGCCAGGACTCGCCGAACTCACACTCTCTTATTGGCAACCTTGAGCGATATTAGTGTCGTTGCGCAGCTTCTTCAACCTTCTTGAGGTTCCCTCCTTGGAGGTGCATAAGTGAGTGAGCTTTCCTGCAGGAGCAGCCGGTTCCTTGCCTTTATTCAAGGCGGATCTCTTGGCGCCCGCCGCAGGAAGTGCCCTTGCTGTTGAAGGTTGACTGGGGGAGGAGGAGGCTGCACTTATAGTTGCTGCCTCTCCTGCCTCCTTCGCTCTCTCTCTCCTTTTGGCATCGGCTCCGCAAATGCGCTTATGCCTTGGCCATTGTGTTACATCACGAGGTGATCTGCTATGTCCAACCTCATTCCAAGCGGTAGATTGAGGTAGACATTTCTGTTCAGCCCCAACCACCGCCTTAGATTGAGGTGAGCACTTCTGTCCCGCCTCGGGATTGGTTTTTGTTTCTGCTGTTTCTATTTTTGTGTTTGTTTCATTCATGTGTGTTCCCACGAGTAGCAAGGAGAGACTTGGTCACCTCTGGCAGGGCCCCGCATTACCAGAGTTAGGCTGATTACAATAAGGTTTCGCTCAGTTACCCAAGGGGATCGTTCGTGACCGCATATCACCCTGCGACCATCCAGCTGTCGACACGATTCCTTACACCTTAGCTTGAGTAGGCTGGTCCAAGGTGGCATAAGTTTCAGTTCCCCTCACCCTACTTATTTCTGTCTTCGACTAGGAGTCCAGCGAGTCCGTAAGGCCACATTGGCTTTCCGGACAGGGTCTCCAGTCCCCTGACCATTCCCCTATCCACCATCTGGGAACGTGCCCAATAAATAGCTCAACCCACCGTTCGCGAGATGACTATTAATAGTTCATTCGAGTGCTTTCCTTTTCTATCCCTTCTGCCCTCTCTCCGCTTCATCGGGAAATGACCGTTTGGCGTTAGTTAGCCGTCTTTCGCAAGATTATGGGTTTCCAAATGTTGCATATCTCTATGCTTGCTTAGCTGAATGCGTCGTTGGACGACAACATATATGCGGCTTCTTTGAATTTCCTCCTAAACCAGTGTTTCTCCCTGTGTATGATTTCATTCCCGATTTGCTGGTTTCTCCTCACTGTGTATGTCACTTGTGCTTAGCAATGCGGACTTCTAATTGCCTCTTAGTTTCACCGATATAGGATTTGCAGCATTAAAAGGTTAGTGTTTCCGGATCTGAAGCAGATTCTGTTGTACTTGGATACAATTCTTCTCATCCATTTCGGCAATCCTTTGATGTAGGGAAGTGCAAGCACTGTTTGTGACGGCGTCTCTTTGCGCGTGCGAGGCTCATGCTGTCTCTTAGCCAAAGTCCGTTCAACCATTACTTTGGGGTAGCCATTCCGTTGAAGATCATTTTTGATGATGCCTAGTTTCTTCTTGAGACCTTCCTTCGTATTACAGAGCCCGAAAGCACGGTCTACTAGAGTCTTGATGATTCCTCTTGAAGTCGATTGATTGAATTCATGGTTCAGATAATATCTCATGTGAGTGGGTCTTCGGTACATATGTTTTCCACTAATACGCCAAAGAATGGCAATTGGTTGTAGACTTCCTTCTCCATTGTTAAAGTAATGGAAGCAATATTGATGAGCTTCAGAAAGGTTGCTTGTCCTGTCGTCAACGTGTCTCAACCAAACTCTGAGTTTCTTCTGTGCTTTTTCAATAATTCATCCACTCAAACATTTTGAGTTGTTGATATTCCACGTGATATCATATTTCTCCCAATTGAATATTTTCAAAATTGAATTAAAATGAATATCTCTCAACTACCTACACCGTAAGTTCAGGTTCACAACTATTTCCCCGGCTGATAACACGCTTGATATTGAATTATATCCAACATCGAGCAGCAGTACGTATGTATCTCTTCTCGATACAGTCGTTAGACACGTTTCACTTTACTTCTTGGTAATTTTGTTTTAAACAAATGCAACGAAATTTTTGGTGGGGAGCTAAAGAGAACAAATCACTTCAATCTGCACGCCACTGTAGTAGACCTTATAAAGTAGTATAAACCCTCCTATGGAAAATTGTAACAAAATCGTATAATGTTGTTTGAGCAATCTGTTTACTTTTCGTATATATAATGAGTATTTATTACTTTTCACTATTACAGAGTATACGTATATTATTATTCCTGAATCACTTGTGAAAATACGATTGTACAGCATTTTATTTTTTGTTTGAAGGTTGCCACGGTGTCCCGTACAGAAGGAAAACCTGTTCCAGGTTTTTTAGGAATGCTCACCAACACTTTGGGAATGCTAGGAAATGCCGTTAACGAGGCTGAAGATGTGGCAAAGAAGCCCATTGACGAAGTGGTGAAAATGGTAATACCTACGGGGAACCCGTATAATGAATTAACATGCATACTTCGCAAGATTAATTGTATACTAGATCATATTTTGAAGCTATGCGGGATAGAAACACAAAATAATTCATGTTCTGGTAACTGTTTCTATGAAACTCATTGAGAATAATAATAATTCTGTTTATGGCTGGTAATAAAAGTAGTTAACCATGTGTAGAACAAACTATTTATTACCAATGTATGAACATATATGTTGTTAATATCGTTGCGAAAAATATAGTAAAATTTAGCCTTACAGTCAATGAATGAATAGATTTGGGATTTTAAAATTGATACAAAATTATAAAATATAATAAAATGAATGGGAATTGGTAGTGAGAGTGCACTCTTCAGTAAAGCACCCTTGATATACATGTTAGCTGTCAGTTGCGTTTTATTATAACTTATCACTGGTATTACCGATGTTTAACCTCTTTCATTATTATCATATTATTGATGAGATGACACTTATTATCTTATTCCCGATGAAGACAAATCCAGAAACACAAAATTCATACGAATTGGTCCAGCCGTTCTTGAGTTCTTTCATAAGTGTCATTATTTTCATCGATAAAACATCATATATTGATACTTAGTATCGTATTGCCGACGAAGACAAATTCAAAAATTCAAAAATCATAAAAATTGTTCAAGCCGTTTTTGACTCCTTTGATCATTATTATTATTATACTTATTGATAAAATATCACATTTCAATAATCATCATTCTATTCCCGATGAAAATAAATGCAGAAACACACAACGTTCTAGAATTTTCGATCATTATTTTTATTGACAAATCCAAAATGTCAAAAATCATAAAAGCTGATCCAGCTGTTCTTTTTTTTTACAGCTGTTCTTTTTTTACCGTAGTGCGCGCTGGTCAGACCTTGTCCCCCGAAGCCCCGATACATTTGGGAGGGCGCGCCAGTAATATGAATTTTTATTTTACCGGAGTATGCGCTGGGCAGGCCCTATTCCTCGAAGCCCCGATACATACGGGAGGGCGTGCCAGTAATATCAACCAACGACCACCCCCCACACCGTGGGGTAAGTGATCATTAGAAGCTTTAAGCAAATGCCATGTTGCATAAAAAATGCTCTTCTTGCTATCAGTCGAGGACCGAAGATATTTATAAGACTTTGAACAAAAATATTACAGAAGTCTATTTTCAACGGTTTTCCAATGACATAAAATCAACCTTGAACAAAAGCCCGATGTAATCTAATCTTTTTCGTGGAAATGTTCTTTTTTTTCTAAAACATGGAAATTTCAATAACTTCTCACGGACCTGTTACACCAATTGGGTAGAAGGTTCAGTTAATCCATATAATGGCTTACACATTCAACAGTTGTACAACGCTTCAAATCGTCTGCAGACAATAACCTATTACGATTCAATGATTCACAAAAATCATTGATGAAAGTCAAAAATGATAATGGACTCAAATTTCAATCTTGTGGTACTCCACTAGTAGCCATTGCATTGCTCTCGCTGTTCTACTGGATATAGCTTTGGCAAAGTTATCTGTTATTGTGGAAGCTCACGTTCTTCGATTAATTTCGCAAATTGAAAATATCAAGGCTAAGTACTACTGGACTTCTCTTGTTAGGTATTTGATGATGATGGAATCATATCACATTCAGTAATATATCATCAAAGATCAGCTGCTGTCGCCATATTAAGTCTATGTGTGTGATATCAATGAATAAATAAATGGAACGCTTATTCAAATACTACAAATTTAATCAATAACAAAAATTAAAATTTTACACAATTCTTCAATTATATATTCGCCTCTATGTCCTTGCTCTTGCGAAATAATTGAAACAGTCTACTGGCAGATCCCATGGGATCAATTAGGAACTTTGGAGAGATATCGAATCCTAACGTTCAGCCTACAACTACTGTGATAGGCATCTTCAGCGGTGGTTGACAGAAATGTGTTGTGACCTCCTCGTTAGCAGACTCGTTAATGAGATTATATGCTGTTTGTCATTGATATTTTTAAAGAAGAAGTATGTAGAGCATGGTTTATACACGTGAATAACGTATGGGCTGAAAAATCCCGGGACTAAGAAAAAAAGAGCGTATTATTTTTCAAAATTGGCTTTATTCATCAACGTAATCTTCATCAAGAGCCATATAATAATTCCAGCGCCGTTCTATCATTTTAACACAACTTCTGTAGAACCATCAACAAAATAGGCCTCAGTTTCAGCAATAACCTCTTCAATCGAGCAAAATTTCTCACCGGTGAGCATTTTTCGAGGTCTGCAAACGGCCAGTAGTCGCTGAGAGCCAAATCTGAAGAAAATAGTGGATGTGGGAGCAATTTCAGTCTCCAAACGCTCCAATAAAGCTATATTATTTTCACTTTTTACGTTATTTTCCTTCCTAGAATAGGCAATGAATATTACACCACGCACATTCCAAAATACCAAGGCCATAACCTTTACAGCCGATAATTGTGCTTTCGAGCGCTTTGGACGAGGTTCACCAGTTGCTTTTTACTCAGATGACGATTGTTGTGAATCAGAATTAACATAATGGATCCATGTTCCATCCACTGTCACATATCCACGCAAAAATTCCGGTTAGTTATATATATTTTTTTTTGTACCTTGGGAGCTGTCTGACTTGACCAGCTAGTCCAAGACTCCAGAAAACAATGCAGCCTCTTGGGCTTATTGCGTTTATTCTCCCATCTTCTCACGTCACCCATTCCATCAGTCTCGTTTCTTGTACTAGTTTGTACACGTTCCGTGTTGGATGTTCGTCATATTCTTCTGGACGTAATTTCGTACGTCCATATATTGCCTGCCTCCTATGATTCACTGCCTCACATTAACATAAGATGTGTAGAGCTGTTTCTATCCCTTCGTTGTATAATCTGCAGCTGAGGTCTCCGTTGTACAGCTCCATTTTATTCAGGTGTCCTCTAAGCGGACAATGACGGATTAGTAAACCTGTAATTATTCTGAGCCAATCCCTACTATATGGAAGTAGTTCTTCGGTTATTTTCTCAGACGGCTCCCTAATGAAGGTTCTACTGTGTTTGTTGCCAGGTACTTTCATTCACTACTCTGTGTGCTTCTTATTGTCCCATGTCCTGATCTTGTTTCGTAATCATGATTTTGGTACCCCCAGAGCTGGTTCAGAACCTATATATGATTCCTGAATGCCCTGGCACTCAGTACAAAGTTAATTTGTTACTGTTTGCAAGTTAATTCAGTTCTTCATGGCATTCCCAGACCAGTTTTGATATCACCTTCGGGTTTGTCAGAGCCCCTAGTGCGCTCTTGGTGTCTGGTAAAATATTGATCCGCTCATTTCTTTGATTCAGAATTGACGCGATGGATCCATGTTCCATCCATTGTCACATATCGACGCAAAAATTCCGGTTTTACCAAACACTGCTCAGAATCATTAATACGTTCCTGTTTTAGGTCAACAAGTTCGCGCAGCAACCACTATAAACAGAGTTTTCTCATAGTCAAATGCTCATGCAATATAAAGCCAACACGTCCTTTTGACATCTTTACAATGTCAACTAACTCACACAACTTTAGTTTTCGATAATTCAAAACGATTTTGTGTGTTTTTTAAATATTTTCTGGAGTTACTGCCTCATCTGGACGTCCACTGCGTTCTGCATCATCGGTATCTCTACGACCACGTTTGAAGTCAGGAAACCAACGTTTAATTGTTGTTTCTGAGTCTGAGCGGAGTCCTTATAACCTTCTTGAAGCCATTGCTTCGCTCGAACGGTATTTTTCCCATCAAGAAGCAGTGTAAAATCAAAACACGAATTTGTTTTTGACCCATTGTTTGGAAAATAACAAAGGTGGTGTCACTATCAGCACAATAACTCACAAATTCATGAGTAGAACATCATGAAATTTGAGCAGATTCTTTTTGAAGGTTAGTACTATAACTGAAAAAGTGGTGACTGCGACAAGACTAGCGCTATCGATGTGTTACCACCGAGAATTTTTAGTCCAGGTGGTAGATGGTACCTAGCTCTCTACATCAAACGCGACACAGTCCTAGCCACTTTTACTCTATGAATATCAATGCCACACAGCATACGGTCTCATTAACAAGTTTACCAGCGATAACGTCGAAACGCAGTGCTGCCAACCGTCGCTGAAGATGTTCGTTGCACTTATGAGTGCAACGAACGGCTACCTAGTCAGGTTCCATTCGGTTTTTTGGCCGTGAAAATCTGATATACGAGGCTCTTGAAGGCAATCCGTTGCAAAGTAAAGTTTCGTTCGACATCGACTGCCAAACGAGTAGAGTTTCTTCCTCTGTTTTTCACTGCAGATAAACTAGCGCTGTTTTGAACCGCTACAGGTTCTATCCGTGATCCTATGCTGAATCACAACCTCAAAGGACAAACGACGAATCCGGTCCAGAGGTAAAAGTTGAGGCTTGGCTTTGCATCAAACTGTCTTTGGAAGCCTCGTTTACAATCAGTATTCAGGAATCAAGTTTTTTGAGACCTATCTGTTTAAAAAATATCTGCCCTGCTACGAAATTAATCAAAAATAATCCACTCATGACAAATACCGATATGAATCACCTCAGATCAATAACTCCTGCAAATTATAATTCTTTTTTTAAGACTACCCCTTATGCGATGCGTCAAGTTATACACAGGTTGAAAAAGTTTTCGATAACAGGTTGATGGTCATGGCCTTGATGATATACTCCTGAGAAAGACCGTGGAAAGTTTAGTAGAACCAACCACAGTTTTGATCAATAATTTCATTTTATAAGGTATATTTCTAAATACATCAAATTCTCTAAAATTCTAGCTTTACACAAAAAACAATCTTAAAGAGTTCCACAACTATAGGTCAATTCCAATTATTGTTATTTTTCCTGAGATTTTTTATATTTAACGAGATTTTGGGGATATTTTGAGAGATAAGTTATATTGCACCCAGCCCAACTTGGCCTCCGCAGGAAGA